GAGCGAGCCGCGAGAGCTCTGTTAATGACAGTCCTGTAGAATTACTGCGGAACTTCAGGGAGGCGCGCGCGACGTGAAGGTTGAAAAACGCACGAGAGAGAAAAGATGAATCCATCGAGCGAAATTCCGCCAACGGGCGAAGATTATCTTCCTCTCTTCGGAGAGAGATGACTTCTCTCTCTCTGCTCATTCCGCTCTCCCTTTCTTAACATTTCCTACCGAAAACTCTTTCGCCAGCTGCGTTCTCGAGCCTGCCGCTTCACGGGCATCGCTCCTTGAGAATGCTTTATTTTACTGTTACCGCCAGATCCAGCAGGTTCCGTTATTGCCTCGTTATTATCGAAACGTCCCCGCACGAGATGAGTAACGCGAGAGATTTGAGTTTGCGTAGACTACAATCGAAAAAAGGATGGCCTCTAGAGAGAAGAGTTCGGCTTTCGGAGATCTACGGACGAGCTACACGATAAGAGATTTTGAGAATCCAGGATGGAGCTCTCGATGTCCTCTTTTGTCTGTCCAGATTCGGTCCTTCGACGATCCGGTCAATTTTCTCTCCTTTTTCTACTGTTTGTTCGACGTGATAGCCCACCGACGAATCGAGTTCCATCCTACCTATATACCTATACGTGAACTTCGAAATGACGCCGTTATCATTAAGAATGGTCTTATCGGTCGTAGGGAGTGACCATTATCTCTGAGCTGTTTCTGCCGCCCGTTCGACGAAGACGTTCTCCTTTCTAGATATAACCTCGTTGCTCGGATCGGGAAAGTCCCGGCGGTTTCGCGGGAAGTAAAGATCCACAAATGTTCTTTGATATCACAACATTACGCGATATCGAATGAAACGTAATTGCAGCTAGAGCTCGCCAGAAAATCAAATTGTGTTTCTACTGAAGAGAGAAATAAGAATTTCGCGCGCGCGATTCTTCTTTCGAGCTTATATCAGCTTTTATTTTTCATATCAGGGATCCATGTGAATGATAACACGAATTGACGTGGAATTTTTATAGGCAATGCGTTTAAAATACTACGCTGAAAGAGAAATTAAAAAATTAATAAATATTTATTCCAATACTGTCTAATAAATCATTTATTTGAAACAAATAAATATTTATCTGTTTTGAAAAGGATTTTCTTATATTAAATAAATATTTTTCACATCGAATCAATATTATTAGCTTCAAATAAATGATTTATTAGACAATATTGAAATAAATATTTATTTCGAATTCGAAAAACTTTTTCGGTGTAATATAATAACTGAATTGATGATGTATACACTTCTGTCAACGACATGGAAAAATCTAAAGAGCATATTATAAAATTCTACATGGTTTAATTTTTTATATGTATGAGTCTAATAAATTATAAGTACGTCGATATTATCATCGAGAGTTGTCAAAATTATAGAGAGTTATAAAATCGATATCTCTAATACGCGCTTGAGATATTAAGCTCCGATATCCATAATAATCGCGCTTTAATATTTGGCGTAATATGTTTGTCATAATTTGTCATCATAAATGTTTGATAAGCGACGAAAATATTTTCGTTGATCGCGTGTGTAATGCAGTAGATTTACGAAAACCTTATAAATCTGCTGCAAAATGTCTGCGAGACAGTCGTTCTTTTTCGTCGTTCTTTTTCGTCGACCATTCGGCCTATCGATCTGTGGAATTTTTTTTTATTGCTCTTACTTTTGCAGCGATCCCTTCGTCAGCTAAGAGAAGGTAAACATCGTAAAAGAATTCGCACTCGTTCTCGAGTGTTTGCTTAGGTCCCGCGAGAGGAATATCATCTCATTATGTTGTCCGAAGAAATTGGTGACATAACTTTGGGATCATCTGTACTTATTTTACTAATCCTGAAAAACGGCACGATACACTTTTACGGTATCAAGTAATTAAATTATATATAAAAACAAAATGTTTAAACAGAATGATAAGTTTCCGCGAAATCGCGAAAGGCTAGTTATGCGTTTAGTCGGAAAGCTGCCGGGAATTTTTCCCGGCAATTCTCTTCTCCGTACGTTATATATTCTTAAATGGCAGCAAAGAGAAGCCGGTTCATTCCATTACATAGCGCGGCGAAACAAAGGAAATCACAAATATCTTCCGTGAAATCCCTTTCCCCCATTTACCCTCCCGGAATAATCTAGAAACTGCGAAAAGTCAACTCCCGTTTCCCCGAAAGCTTAAGTCGTACACAGCCTTATAAATGCATTTACCTTCTGTTTTGTGATGAAATACAATGCTGCATATAATCAATATTAATAATAATGCATATTACATTGTGTGAGCCCGTATAAGAAAGATCAGTTCAACAAAAGGTGAGATTTGCCAGCAGGTTTATAAATATATTAGCTTTATAATTAAAAACATTTTTAATTTTTATATTCACTTTACGCTAATTATTTGAATTTTTAAATGTTTTTGTTTTTTTAATCACTTAGAATGTGCTCATTACTATAATTATCTTCGAATATTAATTTACATTTGCTTTGTAGTACCGAGTAAGTTGTAATTAGATGATTTTACAATCACAATAATGTATGCTTATTTTTGATATACTCGCGATTCAACATTTATTGCTTTCAACACTAGGTGAAGATTTCATATATTTTTCTCTTTTTCATTTTATATCATCTCTTTCCCTACTATTCACTTTGTTTTGTTAGTACGCTTTTAACAAATATATTTCTATACAATATTTTATGCATTTTTGTATCATATACGTATGACAGTTGAACTTTTTTTTTTTGTAAAATTAATGGAAATCCGCGTAATTTTAAACGCATTAATATTGTTTGATTTGCAATGATAATTAATGTTGTTTTCGTCGAAAATTTTCTGACAGATTAAGCTGACGGGATCAGTCGCGTCTATATAGAACTATGCTTCTGCAGGTCAGGATTAGTAAAGTTCAGTTGATGCCGGAGCAAGCCCGAGGGAAGGAGAAACGATCCCTAAGCGAGTGATAAAATTCCTTTCCAAGTTATATTAACGCCGTTAGTCGTACCCACGGTGCCCCTGGACGAACTTTAATCGTGAATAATGAAGGAGCCCGGCGGCGATTATTTTTCTCGCAGAAGGGACCGGCGGCATTAGACGCAGCTCTCGAACTTCGGCGCGGGACCATTTTTTTGCAGTTCCCGAAGAATCTTTGTCAGGCGGGAAAATAGATTTGACTTCTTGCTCGTTGTTTGATTCTGGACATACTTATCGTAAATTATGGTATTTAACGATGACCGAGAGAAAAAAGAGAGAGTCTTTTCAGACACTTCCCGTTTAAATTTTAAAATTACTGGTTCTAAAAATCGACTTTTTATTAGTACAAATGAGCGATTTCCTAATCCATTTAATTTCGCACGTTATTTTAAATTGAAAGCTTGACATAAAAAACGTACCATTTTATTCTTACAGTTTCTAACGTAAACACAAACGTTTTATAATTAAAGTTGAGTTCTTAAAAAATAGTAATTATATTATAATTTAATTATCTATTGCACACAAAGAGGTCATTTATTAAGACGTGTATGGTAGCCACGACATTAAAAACAGATTTCTCAACCGTATTACGTCGCTATCAGCGTCGGCGTGTAACAAAAGTTCTTAAAGTAGCTTTATAAAAGGCGAATAGCTTCATTTGTAATAGGGTCAGACAAAACCGCTTGTGATGGTAACCGTTAGGGCAAATAATAAATTGGCAGACAATGCCTGAAGGAAGATAGCCGAAGGAAGTGCACAAAGAATGCTTGCGTCAGCTACCATCTGTATAACTTGCGAACAGAAAGAAAAATAATATGGCTGTGTTCGACACGGTATAATTCACTTTTACAGAATATCGCACCATTTCCAATAATTAGTACTATTGCTGATCATTGCGGAAATTTACTAAAAGTATCCACGAGACGATATTGCAGTGTCGAAGAAAACCATAATAACAATAAAACGATAAAGAATAAGAAAGTAAAAAAATAATAAGCGAAAAGTATTTGATATATTAAACATTTTTTATTTTTTATTGTTATTGATTGCTTTTCTTTTTCGTTGTTATAATAATAATTTAATTTCATTAAAATAAATGATAGCATCATATAAATAATAGCATCAAAGAGAGAGCAATATTAATGGATTCCTACAGAGAACTCGATAATCGAATCTTTGTACAACCGAACCGGATTATTGTTTCACACGTTGCTAATATTACCAAAACCTTTAAACTTAAATACGATATGTATTAAAATCGAAACTTAATACAGCTATTATTCGTCGATTATTATTTGCCGCGCGAAGTGCGTTCAAAGAGAAGTTGACAGGACGAAGGACCCGAAGGAGACTTAGCCAGAATGGGGTGCTATAATCTCATTTGTGGGGTATAGTTGGTGCATAATTCCTCGCAGTGAGTAGCATAACTTTGTACTCTCTCCAAGGAACTGTACCAAACTGGCACAGCCTACGGGAGAATACAAACTTTGCAAACTCGCGAGTAGTTGCGTTGACGGCAATGTACTTTCCCATATGGGATGCTTGATTCCTACAGATAATTTCTACAACATCTGTGGACTTATCGCCTTTATGAGCATATCAAACATGCTAGAAGAATATTGTACTTTGCAATTTGATTCTATGTTATGCAATTTAATTCGGCTGTGATTGGAATATTTTCTCAGTATATTCCATTTATTCATATATATTTTAACAATACAATTTTACAAGTTTTAATTATACCTGCATAAAATTGCAGCATCGAAATATTTCAATAATTTATATAAATTGTTCATTTGTAAATTATACATATGATACTCTTTAAAAAATTTCTATGTAAAAGTGTAAAAATGACCAATCCAATTAAAATATATTATATATATATATCTTCTTAGTAATCTCATTTTTCTCTTTTGTTACCAATAAACTTAAGCTACAGTAGCGTTATTGCCACCACTTTAGCGTGGCTGGCTCGGCGGGATACTTAAGACGCTGCGGATCCCTAACAAGCCCTCTTGTCTCTTTTTCTTCAGACATGCTACGAGATGGAGAGGTACCTGAAGGACGAACCGAAACTGCAATCGTATAAAAAACTCCCTACGGAACTGGACACGGCGCCCTGGAACCTCTTCAGGGCGCCATCGATCTCGTGGACGACGTCCACCGGAACGAGCGCACAATTCGACCCACCAATCAAAATGGAGGTGTGTAATCAAATAATCTTTGCAAACTAGTATTAATCTCGTATCAAATCATTTCACATCATATTTTTATTTAAACTTTAGTATTTTATATATCAATCATCTTCAGTATCGATTTATTTTTTATATATGTGTATCTCATAAAATGGTAATTTTATTAGTCTTATAGAAGAGAATAAATCTCTATATAAATCTTGCAACCATTTTAGAAAATTGTTTCAAAAACAATTCGCGTTTTCTTTTTTGCAATCAGGTGACGACGTCAGACGAGAGGGATCCTCTCTGTTTGGACGACATCAAATTCAGTCCCGGCGATCATAACGATAATGGCCGTGATAGGGATCTCCTCGACCGTCACCTCGATTCCTTGTCGATGTCTTCGGCAAGTTCGGCGTGTTCAGCGCTGTCTTGGGACAGCTCACCTTCCCTTTCCTGCACGGCGCTCATTCTCAAAAAAGAGCCCAGCGAAGACCTCGAGGAGGATGAAGAACACGAGGTATTTATATATTCTTAATACAATCATTTCGACTGACAATGTTTTATTTCGAATTTATATAGTAGCTTGTTAAAAATTCTGACAACAAAAATTTTATCACAAAACTGCAAAGTAAGAACATTAGTCTTGTCTTGCGAAGTTGTTTGATGAAATTCTGGAATCTACAAAAATTATTGATTCTCGTGTCATATTTATCAATTTTTTCTTTGTACAAAAATATTAATTGGGATCAAATTAATTAAAAAAATTTTTTTCGTGAACATATTAATTTGAGGGACGAAGAATCTGATCTCGCGCGCACTCTTATATATAATTCTATAATTCGATGCAACACGAGACGCTGTATTAATGCGACAAAGTCGGATATAACAAGTCCGCAAGGTCGCTCGACGATTTATTTGCCTGCCGCCAAAGTTCAATACGACTTTTAGCGGCGATTCACGGAGCGTGCATTGATTCCGTTATCGCAATCTCGTTGCATAATGCACGCGATTTTGCCGCAGGAGATCGAGGAGGAGGAAGACAGCGGGTGCGAAAGCGAAGGTCAGATCCTGACGCCGCCGTCGAGTCCTGGGTCGGGTCAAGGTCATTCCAACTCCAGCCACTCGTCGAGTGGGAGTTCGATGCCCGACGTGCACAACCTCAACCTTCATGGCACGGGTGGCAGGAGCGCTATCGTCAGGGTTACTGCCGGCAACGCGCAAAGTGTCGCAAGGTAAGTGTTATATAAACTCGCAAATTTCTCAGATTTCGCAAATTTTTCTTCTCGTTACGTAATATCGAGAGAAATATCCCGCTCGGTTACTTTTTGCTCCAGCATTCTTTCGTTAACTCTCCTATTTTCGTCGAATAAAAAATTGAAAATTAACTTTAGAATTTTTTTTAAAGTCCATGATTAACGCGCGAAACTTGTCCTATAAAAAGACGGATGTGCCGTAGTTACGTCTCGCTCGAAAATTACCTAGATTGACCGTAAAGTGGCCGCGTACGCTTTCCGGAGTCGGTTTATCCCATCTAAAACTCTCGTTCCCAGCAATTTTCAACGGAAGAATTCTCAAGTAAAGAAACTACGAGAGCTCGTTAAAAAAAAAAAAAAAAAAAAAAAAAAAAAGAGTCGATCAAGAGGCGTAAAACAATTCGTTCTCGCGATCATTCCGTCATATTAATTCGAAATCGTGTTCTTTGCGATTCGCTCGCGTTTCTTTCGCCGGCGCACGAGACGTATAACGCCGATTACTCGTCGTTCTACCCGATCACGCCATATAAACTCGTGTTAAACTCGGTCGAGGAAACGAACCGTAACACGCACAGGCCCCGTTTCACGGTTGGAAACGGGACGACTAATTATGACGGGACTAATGCGGCAAATCGCATTTTTGTTTTCTTTCCTCTCCGCAGACTGATCTCCGTCACGGCGAACGGCTTCCCCGCGGTCGCCAGCACGCAACACACACACGCGGGTACAACCACCGCGGCCACGACCACCGTGGCCAACAGACACCACGCAAGGAGCAACGAGCACAGTCCGCCCGACACGAAGCGCAGGATACACAAATGCCAGTTCCCCGGATGCAAGAAAGTATACACCAAGAGCTCGCATCTCAAGGCTCATCAAAGGACGCACACGGGTGAGTGAATCGATACGATTGCAGTAGTAGTAGTATATATGTATCTGTCGATAAATTAGTCAGCCGCGAGATCGCAAGCGGCGCGAGATAATCCGATAGTTGGTCGCGACACGTCACGCGAACCGAAATAATCGTCCGGCTGGTCGAATTGAACTATTATTGCGACGAGTTACATACGCGTGTACGCGTAATGAATGTATATGTCGCGCGAGAAGCGTTTACAGGCGTGTCAGCACGCGAGTTATGACAAATTTTTCAAACCGCTATCTGACACTTCCGCCGCTATGCAGAAACAACGAGCGCATAATTAATTACGGGCCACGAATTAGGGGCGCTTCGTTATTCGCGTCGACGCGCGTTCGCGAGACTATCTCGTTGATGAAACGAAGCAGACAAATGTAACGCTCGTGTATATACATATACACATTCGCGCGTTTGATGGAATCAAAACATTCGCTCGGCATCACGTGCTTCTCTAATTGGCCATTGTTGTCTGCGAGTATTTTTCTCCTCTATTGTATTGATAAATTCTTTCGAATAAAAATATAATATATGAGGAATATGACATGCTGTACGACGTGTACATTAGACTCATTTATTTCAACTTTTTATCGATCTTTTTATTTTAATCTAGCGTTTCATGCGGCTTAATATTATTGAATAAACTTTTTTACCTTTGTAAGTTTTTGCAATGAAAAATATTATGTATATACATATAAATTTGATAGATTTAACATAATGTTAATAAATACGCTTCTGATCTCGGGAAAATCTATAGAATGCCCGATAATTACATTTAAATTCTATCTGTACTCATTATAATTATATATGTATATTTATTGTAAGGTGTTCCGATATCTCTAATTTGCGAAACGAGTTTTCGAATGTTTCATCAATCGTTACATATTCCGGTAAAACAAGTCGAAGTTTCTCCTCCATTATAAAGAGAGGTAATGTCTTTGCTACTTCCGTAATCCAGCGTTGACGGTGCACGTTACTGTATCCGAACGCGATGTTAGCGTGGGTTCTCGCCATCCTTCTTTCTCCCTCGATCCTCTTCGCGGTCGCTTGCGGTGAGCGATGGCAGGCAGAGAGATTGTAATTAACGAACTCTCCTGTTTTCCCCGTCTCTTTCGTCTTCTCTCTTCCTTGCTCTTTCTCTCTCTCTCTCTTTGTTGCTCTTTATCCATGGTTTTTGTCGCGTCACACTCAAACTCTACGGTTTCGCCAGTCGTACGTATACGGTACACTCTGCGGTACGTGTCCTCGCGCTTCTATGGGTTCCCTTCTATATGTATAGCTTAGGGTACCGTCTCTCCGTCGCGTTGCGAAGGATGGTGCGAGGGTGAGAGCGAGACGGTAAGCGAGGGAGGTAATAAGGGATAGGTTGGCCGGGACGCCTCCATCTCCTGCAGCGTGGCAGGTACGTCGGGATTGCTTCTCGCGGATCGTTAAGCAGAACTGCTAACTACGGGATTATGCATACTGCGGGACCCGTCCCGCAATTATGACTCTGTTATGAATTCGTCCTGACACAAGGATCTCTCTGTCGGCGGAACGGCTGCGCCAGACGACGTACGGCGGCTCTTGCCGTAGGACGTTTATCTCGAAACATTTACGGGAAAAAGGTGTAAAAGCGCCCGAGGGGTATCACTCGGATCCATCGTGTCTCTTTCTCCTTTCCTTCTCTTTTTTCGTCGCTTCAACGCCGGTATTTCATACTGTCACGACGCGCAAGTATCGAATATATTTGCTTCGCAGTTGAAATGTTTTTCTGCATTCGCGCGACGGTTCTCTTTCGTGTTTTCTTTCGAGATTCTTATCCCTCTTTTTTATCGCATATCTGCTCATTGTAGTCGTATGATGATCGTAATGCAGAAAAATTCTCTCAAATGGAAAAAGCGCGTTATAGTAATTTCCTTTGATTTTTGTGGGATACCGATATTTTCTAAATAAATATTTAACCATACAAACAATATATTTTTTTTATATTATAAAAATATTTCGACTATGATTTTTTATATAATAATTATGCACAATTATCTAGGTTTTTTTGAAGATATATTGAACAAAGAAAATATTATATTTGTGTTTCGCGCAACACAATGTCAGGAAAACAACTGCTCCTGTACTTATTGATTATATCCATTTTGCCGCATGGAAGAGATTTCCGCCGCGATTTTGACGTCGAAAAAGTTGGACGAAATCCCCTTTCCGAGTTCACCGCCGCGCCGGAGAGAAAAACACGACCGAGAAACTTCGGGAAGCGAGGCTTTTCGCGGGGATGGAAATGACGGTAGACTTTGATCTCACTCGATGGAATCTAATTACCTCGCGGACAGGAACTTGCAGTAGCGGGACACGAAACGAAGCGTGTCGTCGATCGCGAGTCGACGACGACGAGGACGTGAAGGTTCGTTACGAAATCCATCGGCGAAGTTTCCCTACGGAAGAACCTCTCGATATGTATATACGTATCCTGCGGTGACGACCGAACGGGGGAGGAATCCCCATTTCTGCTTGATCTGATCTCTTACATTTGTGACGACAGACGCGACATGCCCGTCTATATCTGTCAGATCATGTTATCCAAGACAATGGGCTTAGCACCGATTCTGCTATGTTATCCGATTAGACGACTTAACAATCAAAATCACCGTCTACGTTTGCTAATTCTCTCTTAACAAACCGATCAGACGTTATCAAGCATTATCAAGACGTCTCGTTTATCTTGTGATTGGATTTATCAAGACTTTATTTTTTGCTCGTCATAGTTTCGAGGAAAATTGTTGAAATGTCTCTCGAATCTTGCTAATCCCAGCACCTCGTAATAATTTTTCATTTACGCTCATGTTATACGCACCATTGCGGCTTGCCGCTTAAAACATATCATTCAAATCCGTTAATTAAAACGTTTAACGGATTTTGGTCTTCTGTAAAGAGGCTAATTTAAGCGTTCGTCTACAGAACGGCCGCGATTTTTCACCGTCACTCACAGCGTGGCCAGATTTACGTAGAATTTGTGTAATGCGCGATGAGAAGAGAGGAGGCTCTCGTAATCACGTTAATTATAAATCGTGAAAGGAAATGGACGAGAACAAAGAGAAAGAGACTGAGTTATAGAAATGATAATATACCGGAGACAAAAACTGCGGATAAACTCTTTGTCGTGTCCCCATAGTGTCTTTACGAGAATAAAAACGAACTAATTCTTCGTTTTCTTATTGCGCTTATCCTTCTCGCGTATTAGATTCCGAGCGAGTCCTTTCCAACACTGCGGGAATCTCGCAGGGCTCTCATATCCGATTTTCCCACGGGGTGTCAAGGAATTATCGATCGCCGTCTCACGCAGCCTCACATTGGCTGTGTATAACGGCGAGAGAAAAGAGGGACGGAAAGGTAGGAGAAGAGAGAGATTTCCAATTACAGGGACTTTCCGTTCTGGAATTCCATTCCGAACGTCATTGTTCTCGCGTCGCGCGCCGCGGACGGGATTTTGATCTTTCGACGATGCGAGAGAGTCCAATCGCTTCCACCGAGACACTTAACAGTCCTTTACTTCGTTTCGGAAAGTGGATCGCCAACAGATATATGGAAACTTAACGAAGAGCGATTTTACTCTCTCGGCTTTAATCGCGATTATAAGTGATTTGCAGGAAATGAAACATTAACATTTCTTTTTAAATTGCAAAAATGTTTATTCTGCACTGAAAACAATTTATTGAATTCGAATAAATATTTAGTTCAATGCTGTCTAATAATAAATTATTTATTTGAAACTACTAATATTAATTTGATGTGAAAAGTATTTATTTGGTATGAAAGAACTTTCTTTTTTTAAATTGCAAAAATGTTTATTCCGCATTGAAAAAATTTATTGGATTCGAATAAATATTTATTTCAATACTGCCTAATAATAAATAATTTATTTAAAACTACCTACTAATATTGATTTAATTTGAAAAATATTTATTTGGTATAAAAGAATCCTTTTTAAAACAGATAAATATTTGTTTCAAATAAATGATTTATTAGGCAGCATTGAAATAAATATTTATTAATTTAATAATTTTTTTTCAATGTGGAAAATTAATATTTACTTTTATAATTAACTTCAGGATAGTCGCGCTATTAAATAAACGTTAGAGATCACATTATCCATTCTTAAAAAAACGAATTAAGATATAAAGCCATAATGAGCATATTATTTATATATAAACACATATATATTAACCATTAAACTTAAATTTTAAAAAGATTGTTGACATACAAGAACAATTGCAGATGTGTTGCATATATGGATGACTAATGTCATCCAGAATTAATGAGAAAAATTATGATTTTTAAAATAGAATCTATTATATGTCATAAAAAATTAAATATATATATTTTTGTACGATATTTTCGATTGCAAAGAATGCGAAAACCGGAACGGAAATATAAATGATTCGAGGATGATGATGCATGTCTTACGTATATCTATATAGGTACGTATATTTTTACGCGATTGAAAACTTTATGTATACGGGGGTACATGGGAGGCAGTTGCGGTCGAAGAAAGAGTACCGGTCGAGATTACACGCGGAGATCAAAGTAGGTCAGCCAAAGTATAATAATTTAGCATGAGAGCGCTTTAGAGGAACATACAGCTTTCCGCGATCTTAAATCAAATGAAGAATGGAACGAGCGTAAGAAGGGGGTGAGATAGAAGGGATGGCTCGGCTCCGCGAGAGCTTATTTATCAACGTAGCTCGCGACGATGAATCCGCGCTGTCGAAAACAGTCTGCTTATATACATTACTTTTGCATTTCCTTAGACGCGTCGGTGTATCTGCGAACAATAGGATTCGGGAGTATCTCGCGCCGTTGGGGAGCAAGGGCGGTGTAATCGAATTAACCATAAATCCAGCACATTTCCGCGCAAATGGATATTCGTGATTTATACTCGGTGAATGGTTTCCGCAGCGCGAAAGAAACGAGCGGCGCGATCGCCCGGTTAA